CCCACCTTGGTGATGTACTGAACAAAGTCTTTCCTGAAAGGCAGTCTGCAGCGTATGAACCACATGGCGATCACATGATGGGCGAGAGACACTATGTACTGATTAAACCTACAGAGAATGGAGAGAAAACAAGAAAACACATCATTTAAAATCATTCTGCCTTTGAAATAAAAGTCTCATATGCTCACAGATTGTGAAATATTATTACAAATTAAAACAAATGTTTTCTATATGAATATATTTTCAAATGTAATTTATTTCTGTGATCAAAGCTGAATTTTCAGCATCATTTTATTTGAAATAGAAGTCTTTGGTAACATTCTAAATGAACCTCAAGAAGTCAAATATGTAATTAAGAAAAATGCTGGCTACATATACGGTCTGATTACTTAGTGTGTGTGTGTGTGTGTTAGTTCACAGCGGTGTATGAACATACTCACTTTGAGGGGTTGGTGTATGGCAATGATATGGCAAACACGCTAACGTACTGCTCAGCTACGAAGTTAGCATACAGATGTGGGAGCCGCACTAATGCTGAGAGAGAGACGAGACAAAAAGCATCAGTACTTGAGCTGTATTTGATCCAGAAGTGTCGTTTTGCGACAGTTGTATTTTAAATGTAGAATGTATACTATATTCTGATTGGTCAGAGTGAGGGAGGCCGTTCTGATTGGTCAGACGGTGAGAATGGGCGGGGAAAACCAAAAAAGGCTTGCACTCACTGGACAGGAACTCCAGCATGGGTGAGGCCATGGCAACGGTTGCCGAGATGTGCGTGAGCTTGACGATGAGGGCGGGCAGGAGTTTGATCATGATGTCGGGCATCTCTACGGTGCACATGGTCAGAGCCACCACACACTGCTTAGCACAGCGGTAGATCAGGCCCTTCTCCAAACACTGAACCAGCTCCCTCTGAGACAGCAGCGAAAAACATGCACAAAAAGCTGTGCTATAAACACATTTATCCAATAAATTCCTAGATGTGCATCTGATGATTGGCTACGATCACCTCCTGAACTGTCTGATACGCTGTCACTCCAGAGATCAGACATCTGCTGCCAACTGAATAATAAATGAATACTTAAAAGTAAGAATAAATTAATAAATGAAAAACATCTATAATAAATGCATTTAAATAAATAAATACATTTACATGTACTTTAAGTGTAAGAATAAATTTAGGTAAATGTTTTCTTACGTTAAATTTAAAAATTATTTAATAATTATATTTAATAATACACTTTAATTTCATTTAGTTTAAATTTAATAATACATTAAAGTAAATGTATACTTAATTTAAAATTAATAAAAAGTTTAAATAAACACATCTGATTTAAATGTAGTAATACATTTAAATATATGTGTACTTTAAATTTAACAATACATTTAAATAAATTAATATTTAATTAATATTTAATTGAAATGTAATAACAAGTTTAAATATGCTTAAATAAATGTATACTTTAAATTTAATAATAAATGTAAATAAATGTATATTTAATTTAAATTTAATACATTTAAATAAACTTATCATTTAAATGATTTTATTTAATTTAAATTTTATACATTTTACCATTTTAATACATTTTACAAATTTAAATAAATTTATACTTTAAATGTAATAATAAATCTACATAGTTGTATACTTCATTTAAATGTAATACATTTTAAAAATTCATATTTAATTTAAATGTAATAATACTTAAATAACAAATTTAAACTTATTTGATTTAAATATTTAAATAAACATATTAAATTTGAAGTAACTACACATTTAAATAAATTAAATTTATTAAACATATTTAAACAAATTTAAACAAAAAAAATTAAACATTTTTAATTTATATTCATATTTAATTAATAAATGTATATTTAATTTAAGTGTAATTTTACATTTAAATAATTGTATATTCAATTTAAATTTAATAATACACTTAAATAAATTCACGTAATTTAACATGCAAGTTAACACAAGATAAATATATGAACGAACGAACAAACAAACGAACAAATGACCGAATAAACGAACGAACGAACGAACGAACGAATTAATTAATGAATGAATGAATGAATGAATGAATGAACGAATGCAGTTTTGTTCCTTATTATTTCAAACAGCCTCTAGAGAATGCCTATGATGCTGTGTAGATGGGCAAATCACTAGAGTTTAGAAAACAGCCCGAGCTAGAATTGCTAGCTAAATCTAACAAAACCTTCATCCTCAAAACTAAAAAAAGAGGTGATCATACTATGCTCTCATTCGGATAGCGAGGTACACGTGTTTGTGTCACCTGTCGGCACTGCTCCAGGTAGCTGTGGTAGGAGGTGAGGGCAGTGAGAACAGGAACCACAGCGAGCTGAACATCAGTGAGGGAGAATCCATCAGGAGTCTTCTTCAAACGCTCCGATATCAGACGGTCTGTCACCTGCACACAAACACACACACTCTCCCACATTAACTTGCTTCCACATCGTTTATTACACTGGGTTTCTGTTGTATAAGTGTGTGTAGAGTTTGTTACCATCGAGCAGAGAGTGGAGCACAGATGATCGATGTTGCACGGTGAGGTCAGGATCAGAACTTTGTACTGGATGGTGCACGACATCTTATCCAGAACCAGCTTCAGAACCTTCCAGTCAGTCTCCTGCAAACCAAACAAAGAGCTGATGTTTCACCTTTCATACCGCGGTAGTTATATTTGCGCACACAGATTGTGTTGCATTAAAACTATATGTTCGAGGAATGCTAAAACACAGGGTACTGTGCAAAAAATACGGTACATGTTTACAGTAAGGGAAGAGCTGTGTGAGATTGTGTACCATCTTCAGGCACTGTAGCAGCACGCTGAAGGCCAGGCTGTAGGGCAGATAGGCAGTGCGAATGGAGGAGGGCGGAGCCACCGGTGTGGGACTTCCTTTATTTACATTTAATAACAAATTTAGTCAATCTAACTGTCCTCCATAATAATTTATACTTTTAATTTTATTAATTTTAATAATAAATTAAAATGAATGTTTACTTCACATTTAATTAAAAATGTAAATGCATTTAAAGCTTTTTAAATGCAATGATACATTTACATTTTATTTAAAGTAAATTTAAATAAATGTATACTTCCTTTAATCTTACTTTAATACATTTATATACATTAATAGTTCATTTCAATTTAATACTACATTTAGTCAATCTGAATATCCTCCTTAATCATGTATACTTAAATTAATATTGATAATAAATGTAAATAAATTCAGACTTTATTAAATTTAATAAAACAATTTTAATTAAAAATTTTCAAATAAATTTAAATACATTTATACTCTAAATTTGATATCCTTTAACATCCTCCTTAATAAGTGTATGCGAGAAAACAGCACCGAACACACGCTTGTGTTCTTACCCGACGTCACAGTGACAGTATGGGCTGAACCTCAGGACCTCATCTTTATTGGGGACACCCAGACGATGAAGAGAGTCTGTCCTCATCATCAATAACCAATCAAAAACCTGACAAACAAACAATGAGGGAAAACCACACGGTTACCTTCCTGAAGTCGAGATGATATGAGAAGGTTGTAATAATGTTTCTATGCGGTTGCTAGGGTGTTCTGAGTGTTTGCTATTGTGTTGCTGACTAACTCGAGCCAAAAGTCTGACCTTGAGGCGTATGGAGCTCCCGATGGCACTGTAGTATTTGTTCTTGTAGTGAAGCTGCAGATGAGAAATCAGGAGCTCGTACACTCGACTGGCGTGACTGGCCGGCAGACTGTACAGTTTACTCTGGAAACAGACACACCATCACTGGAGCTGCTACTGAGAATAATCACGATTACACTGATTAGTCCAGGTATTGTAGTACCTGTAGTATGTCTAGCAGACCCAGTATAGCGGTGCGGACGTCCTCCATGGGCGACTCCACAGACAGCTCTCTCTCTCCCTCCACAGAGCATGTTAACGGACGACTAGCAACCTGCAGGAGCACAGGAGTGTGTTACTCACACAAACCAGGTCTCATTCACATATTACGAATGGATACTATGATGGAAACACATTTAATGAATAAACCAATGGATGCACATTTAAATTGCTTCAACAAGTCATGTGACTGAATCATTTGCTCTTAGAGAAAAGGCCTCTGCTGCAGATCGCTAGAAAACACTGCTACTCATTTAAAGCAAATAATAAATTCATACTTAATTTAAATGCATTCATATATTTAATTTAAATTCAATAATAGATCTATATTTATTAGTGCTGTCAAACGATTAATCGCGATTAATCGCATCCAAAATAAAAGTTTTTGAAAATGATATATATATATATATATATATATATACGTAAATACGTTTATACTTTCTTCATATTTTGTAATAAATAGTCAATCTGAACATCCTCCTTTATACTTACTTTAATTTAAATAATACATTGAATTAAATGTATACTTAATTTAAATGAAATACATTTGAATTTAATTTTTA